TCGCCGGCTTCCCCAGCCCGGCCGCAGGTGCTTGTCCAGCTCCCGGTGCTGCCGGCTGCTCGGCCGGGCACCGCAGAAGTGACCACACGCTGTTACGGGGGACGAGCTGTATAACCTCAGGGTGCCCCAAGCGTGGGCAGAGCCGGTATTTCCAATGGGATCTGCCCCAAAGAACGTGTCACAGCCATGTCCCTTGCCATGCCCCAGCTCTGCCACAGCCTCCAGCAGTGCCAGGGCTGCAGGGGCCATATCCCGAGCGAGCGCCGGGCACGCCAGGAGCTCACCGTGCCCTCACGGCAGCGGGACCAGCAGTGCGCCAGGGGCAGTGCCCGCCCACAGCCGAGCTCACAGGCATTTGCCACCAACCCTCACGCTGCACAGCAAGAAGGGGAGCAAATATTACCCTCCCGAAGCCCACCTTTCAGGGAGGAATAACGGGAAAAGGCGGCTATTAAGGACGGGATTAACTCCGGCCGCTGCCAAGAGCCAGGATCTGGGTTGTGGAACCACAGGGGCTGCCGAGGTGGGAAGGGGCTGCGGTGGGATGGGGAGAGCATCCTGCTCGGGCTCTGGCACCCCATGAGTGGGACCCCTGCGCTCTGCTCCCTCTTGCCTCCCCGCATCCTGATGGCACATCAGGACCCCCCAAAATCAGGGCTGGTGGGGGCTGAGCTGGGCTGCCCGACTTGGGGCAGCAATTACATAACAAACAAAGCCCAGCTCAAGCTGCGAATTAATCAAACCGCTGAAAATAAAACCTTCCTCTCAGGAACTTCAAACAAAAGAAACGAAAACAACAAGGCCGGCTGGGTAATGAAAAGCCAGGGCTGTGAATAGGGGACAAAAGGAAGTGGAACAATAGGGTGTTGGACAAAAGCAATAAAGTAAAGGGAAGTGTGACAGCTCCACAATAGGGCACTGTGCGCGCCAGCCTTTCTGATCTTAGCGGGGCTTTTTTTAATCTCAGTTCCCTCGCCCTCCGCTGAACAAACCATCGCGCTGGCCCGGCCGGCGGGTTTCCTCCCGGCGTCGGCATCGCCCGGTATCTGCTGCATCCTGCGGCACCGCCTGCATCGCCCCTTCCTGCCCCTGCCTCACCTTGGCCAGCCCGGTGGCACCGAAGGCGACCTGGGCATGGCCAGCACCCACCCCAAAAAAAA